TTGCATGTAATGCGCATATCTCATATATTAGTTTCCCCTTTTATGTTGCATTACTGAAATAAATGAACTTTTGCACGATATTCTAATTTTTCGAGTATCACTTGTATAGTCAAATTCCAGGTTTTGTTTACATTTTGTTTTGAGCAAAACATGTACATTTAGCTCAGTCCTTAAGGAGTTAAATGTATCTAATAAATAACTTTTCTTTAGCATACATTGGTGTACTGTGGGTTTTTTTTTTGTTTGTTTTTTTTTTGCTACTAACAAATAAATATGGCAATTTTCCAATTAAAGTATGTTTACAATATGGAGGTTTATAGCAGTTTGAGAGAGTTTAAATTATGATATATACGTAAAACTTTATCCCAGAAGATGGTGAGGTACGGTGAGGGAAGTAAGGAAGTTTAACTATATCAATTTATCCAAAATAGGCTCTGTCCATAGAATCCTATCTGTAAAAAAAAAAGGGGGTAAATGAACACGTGATAGGAATACAAACCTGTATTCCTATGCTATAGTGTACTGTTTCTAACTTAATAGTAAAAGATTTTAAAGGGTTAAAACCCCTTTTTTCACTTACCTCCTTCCAGCTCTGAGGGCCTTGGTGCTGGCTAGGTCTTCTCTTCCCACAATGTTACTGGGATGAGCCCAATGTTACTGGGCTAAGATGAAAACTGTCTCCGTTGGCTGTTTGATGAGGTGTAATAGTTCTCAGAGGTGGTGTCTGTCTCCTCTGTCTCATCCGCTCCCTTTTTATGTGCAAACTGTTCTTATGTATGGACTTCTCTTTTTTTAAATTTTGGGTTATTTACCAACATTTGATTGGAAAGTGTTACTCATTAACTTATGTATTTAATTATGCACCACTGTCACCTGTCCACCAGATGGTGATCTAAGACTAATAATTCCTATTTTGGAGTTTCTATGGTTCAGATTTTTATGAGATTGACCTTTCAACCATTTCGTGTGATATGTGTGTCCGCTGGAGTCATTACGTTATGTATCCGCATACACACACACGTGTGTGTGTGTGTGTGTGTGTGTGTGTGTGTGTGTGTGTGTGTGTGTGTGTGTGTGTGTAATCTAACTTTACTTCAATGCGACTGTGATTTTTTTTTTATCCTTTCACTTGTATGTCAAAGTATAATTGCATTCTTATAAGCTCATTTTCCTACAGACTTTTGATTACCAAATTCAGAGTGATTTCATACTAGCACTCTTATCACTATTTTCAACTTCAATCATATTGCAGGTAAAGATTTAAAAACTTTTCATAATATTAATTTTAAATTGAATTAGTTTTGATTAGGACCATTTTTAAAACTATAGAATATTTAAAGTTTCAGCAAAAATTCCAAGTATGTGTAGTTCCAAACAGCCTGGTGAAATTACTTCTTATACTGCTTTCTAATGGCATAATTTCAAGTTCATGACCTTTCACCTTACTAAAATGACACGAAATCTGTCTTTAATGAGGTAGTTTTATATTGTACAAAACATGAAAAATATAACAAATATGGTGATTCCAAGTCCATTCTTAAAAAAATATGGTCTTTGTGAGCTTTAATTTAATTTGCAAATACTTGGGCTAGTTTGAACCTCTGTCTCTCCCATTAATATGGATGGTAATTGTCACTGGTTTGAAAACGGTTTGATTCCAGATAGTATTCATTTCTCGTTTCCAACCAGTTTCAATCATATCTCTCAGTTATCTGTCCAATACAGCTATAACACAATTACTGAAGACATTTGTTGTCGGTAAATAGAAAAAAAACCAAAATTTCCACTATTGTTCCGGACAATGTATCAGTTTGTTTGCTCATTCACATATCGCAGGTATTATATCAACAATCCACCTGAAAACAAGATTAACCTGTGGACTGTGAGCATTGGGTTCAATATTGAGCACTGTATCTTGTTTCCCCTTTCATCTTTGTTCTTGTATTGAAATGGAGAATTAGTCATGCCTTTTTATACCCCATGTGAAATTATAATTGTATTGACAATGATGTGAAAAGATATATTTGAGTGCAAGTTTCTATTGAAATCTGTCAAATGAAAAAGTGGTGTATGTGTGTGGAGTGTCTCTTTGAGTGTCACTTATTTTGTTCAATAACAACTTTCCCATTAGGATGTTTTGCCATGAGTTATGCCAACCTATTTTAGGGTGTGACTGGAGTAAACTGCATAGATAGATAGATAGATAGATAGATAGATAGATAGATAGATAGATGGGGAGGGAGAGAGAGAGAGAGAGAGAGAGAGAGAGAGAGTCTTTATTTGTAACACATATACTTCTACATACTGAATCTGTTTTCTTTAAAAAAAAAAATGTTTTTTATTGTAATATGTCATGCCCTTACTTAAAATATATCTATCTATCTACATAAAATATTTCATGTATCACAGATAAAAAAAAAAAAATGTAAAAATATGGTGATTAAAGATAATGCCACACTAATAGTATTTTTTGGCATGGTTAATCTGTGTATCCATCTTAAATGAGGACGGTATTGGTGCTGGGTGTTGAATCTTTTTAAAAATGTTTCTGAAAGACTGTCTATATTATTTCAAGACACAATTAATAGGCAATTTTAATGCTTTTCATTATGCTATCCACAAGACAATAGATTTCTACACATCCTCTTTAGAAAAAAGACACATGGAATAAGTGTTCACTACATACATCATGGCACCTTGTCATGGTACATCAGAGTATCACAAAACTTCTACAATATGTTTAGCATTTAGTACCTGATTCACTAGAACCTAGAGTTATAGAGAAAACTGAGTTTTTGGATAGCCCAATTTATAAACATAACAATGGCCTATTGTTATTTAAATTCACAGGCTTACCCTTAAAAGGTCCTCTGTGAATAATTAATTCTTATGAAAAAGGAAAGTCAAAATGAGATTGTAAAGCCATAAGACTGGAAGAAGAAAAAAATCACAGTGCACAGTACACCAATAGCTGTGAAGAAAATCTGTAAGAGAAAAAAAAAACACCCTTTTACCTAAAAAAGTAGGACAGAGTCAAACAGAAAAATACATGATAACTGATCCCGTGACTAAGCATGACACACATACAGTAATTATATGAGTAATGGAATGTAAATAATTCTAAAAGATATACTACTCAGATAAACATATCTTGATATTGAAGAATGTGGATTACAATCTGTACAACTGTTTCTACAAAATACTTATAGATAAAATAATGCCAAGTTATAGCTCTGGTATTGACAGACATATAGAGATAGGAAAATAGATTTAATAAAGAATTGTGGCATCGGTTAATTAATAAGTTAATTAAAATTAGCTTCTGAAATAATAAAAAAAAGAACATTTCTAATTATGTGATGTTAAAATAAGCAAACCTATTCAGATGTTAACAAATATGCCAGATGGGAAAAAGATGGCAGCAAAATAGCAAGTTAAACCATATCTAATAATGACCACTTAAACGTGGCTTACTTTGGTGAGTTACTGATGGCCTGTTAGAAATAGTTCCTAGAAAAACAGCTAGTGCCACTAAAGTCAAGTAAATAGTCACATTTTAGGGGTTTAAGTTTTGTTGGGGAGGGCTGTATTTTGGCAGAGTTTGTATTGATGTTCACATTATTCAATTATACTAGGCATCCAACATGTTTTATGTAAATACATTGCTATTGGCATTGTTCTTAAAGAGACAATCCAGACCCATTGCTGAAGAGCTTTATAAGTGAGGAGTGTGTCCTCATTTTTTGTTGTACCAAAAGTGCAGGTTTCAAAAAGAAATTGTCACTTTTATAAATTACCCTTGTTACACCCATCTTAAAGGGACTCTCCAGTGCCAGGAAAACAAACCGTGATATACTGACATACTGACACACATACATACATACATATATACATACTGACAAACACACATACATACACACACATAAATACTGACATACTGACACACACACATACATAGATACATACTGAGATATACATATACATATTGACATACATACATACTGACATACATCCGACATGGAAGCAGAGTAGGCACCTGCCGTTTCGGGCAGGCAGGTGCCTACTCTGCAGACAGCCAGCGGCCCCCTCTCCATGCGACCTATGGCTGCGTGCCCACAGAGACGGCCTGGTGTGCCACCTGTGGCATGCGTGCCATAGGTTCGCCATCACTGCGACTATATGCTCTATGTATGAGTGGGTGTGAAGCACAGCCTCAGTATATGTCCTCTATATGCTTACGTATTACGTATAAATAAGACGTGAAGACACTGATTCAGTATGTGTGTCCACTATATGCTCTATGTAATGAAAACACAGCCACATGTTAACAATATAAAGACACAGCCTAAATATCTTAATCAAATATAATCCTTGTGTACCGGTATGAGCTGTGCGTGTGAAGACAAATTAAGTTTATACATCCAACACAAGCTCTGTGTATGTGTTGCTGTTATTCACAGTTTCAGTATATGTAAGTGATATAAACTCTGTGAAAACAAAGTCTATTTATTTGTATATGCACTGGTGTGGAGACATAATGTCCCCGTATATAGCAGACATAGTCTCTGTATGATGTACTGTTCAAAGTTAGTATATACCACTGATATTATCTCTGTATATGAGGTACTGTTAAGGCACACCCTTAATTTATGGGAATGGTATCTCAGTGTAAATTATGCTGTTAAACATATCCTCAATATATGTGATTTAGTATATTCTGTGTGCAAGATGGTGTTATTATACAACCCCAATATATACACAGTCTTAATATATTTAGTATATTCAACTCATATAAGATGTGTATGAGCTGAAAAGTTTTTGTAGCCATTTTCAACCAAAACAAATGCAGTGTTGCACTGGGTAAGTACCTATTACAAACTGGGGATTCTCTCCTTTAGTTTTCTTAACACGATGATAAGAGAAACTTGCTGCCTTTTGCCTTTGCATTAGAGCAGGGGTTCTCAACCCAGTCCTCAAGGACCTCCTACCAGTCCAGGATTTAGGGATTACCTGGGTGTGTCTAAGGTGTTTAGAAATAGAAAAAAAAACACCTTAGACACACCCAGGAAATCCCTAAATCCTGGACTGGTAGAGGGTCCTTGAGGACTGGGTTGAGAACCCATGCATTACAGTTATCCTCCCACACATGTGTTTCACAATAAGCAATTAACCACTTTAGATGGACTGCAGCTGTCTGGGTACCCCTTCAACTGGAGAGGACGAGTTCTGATTTCCAAAATGGAGATTGATAATGTTCAATAGTGGTTAATAATGTTTTATGAAGGATCACATCTGCATGTACATGAGAGAGGTTGCTACCAGATACTTCTAATACTAGGTACCAGACACACACATAGACAAACATATACGGAGACACACACATACAGGCACACATAGATACATACATACACATACATACAAACACACATGTATATACAGACACTTATATACAAACACACACACACACGCACATGCAGACACACAAACACACATACACACACAGACAGACCCACAGACACATAGAAACATTCATACAGACACTCACATACATACAAACACACATATACATACAGACACATACATACAAGCACACACACGGACACAATCACACACAGACATACACACACATGTATACATACAAACACACATATAGAAAGTGTTTTAGTCACCCTCCTGTTTCCTACCTTTTAGGTGCAGGAGGGTGACTTTCCCTAGGGTCCAGTGATAGCTCAGCGTGATGGCCCCCTGGAAATTAATTTCCATTGGGTGTCCCTAAGAGCATGAGCCACCTGATGGACCCCTTAACGTGCGGCCCCAGCGGTTCTACAGTGCGGCCTAGGCCGCATCACTTGGGAGCGGGCACCGCGATCGCAGGGGTCCGCAGGGTGGCCCGGCTCTCTGGGGTGGCAGACCAGTCGCAGCTGCGACCTCTGCGACCGATGTAGTTCCATCACTGGTCTTGCTATAGAGAATAAAATAGAGTAGAGAAGAACATCCTTAAAATGTAAACACAAGGTCTAGAAATTTTAAACATATTTTCGCAAAAACATAAGTTAATGTCTGTGACAAACTCCCCTCTTCAAGTGAGTTTGCCACAAGCTCCTGGAGGAGTCTGCTTTGGTGTACTTGCATATCTCTTTTATTATTTTAGTAACGTTGGCACTAGTGGGTTAAGCCCTTAGAGAGATCCCTGTGATCTCTCATCAATGCTCTGTTAGTTTGGACTACTGAGACATAACCTATTTATGGTCTGTCACAGTTGATCCACATTGATTATTTTCTCTACATATAAAAAAAATATATAAAATGATGACTTTTTTTTAAAACACACCTTTTATAACTTTGACCCCCAAAATCTTACGCATCTAAAACCGCAAAAAAACACCCATGCTAAATAGTTTCTAAATTTTTTCCCGAGTTTAGAAATACCCAATGTTAACATGTTCTTAGCTTTTTTTTTCAAGTTATATGGCTATAAGTACAAGTTGCTGTTTCAAAATATATATTTTTAAAATTTATCAAGAGTGACATTGTAACACTGTTATCTGTCATAAATCTCTGAATCACGCCTCACATGTACATATTTTTTTAAAGTAGACAACCCAGGGTATTCAATATGGGGTATGTCCAGTCTTTTTTTAGTAGCCACTTAGTCACAAACACTGGCCAAAGTTAGCATTTATATTTCTTTGTGTGTTACAAATGCAAAAAACAATTACGAACGCTAACTTTGGCCAGTGTTTGTGACTAAATGGCTACTAAAAAAGACTTAACGTACCCCATTTGCAATACCTTGGGTTGTCTTCTTTTGCAAACGGTATGCCATCATGGGGGTAATTCTTACTCCTGGACTACCATACGCTCTCAACAGCAACATAACCAATCTGTCAAATTTCAATGTGAAAAAAACAAAACAGAAAATCAAGCCTTATATTTGAACCTGTAACTTTCAAAAACACTATAAACTACATGGGGGGTACTGTTATACTCGGGAATCTTCACTGAACACAAATATTAGTGTATCAAAACAGTAAAACGTATCACAACAATGATATCATTGGTGAAAGTGCAACAGGCAAAGAAAGTTTAAAAATAGTACTATACAAAGAGAAAAACGACACACATAAAAATAAATATCGCTAGACTGGCATCTTAGTGCATTCTCGTAAAGATACAGTATCTGCAAAACAAAGGTAGACGGTGTCAGAGCTCTATATCTATGGTAGTATGGTGCAATGAATAATAAACGCCTTAATACTAGCAGTCAAAGTTGGACTATAATATATATAGTCTTGCAAGGTACACAGTGCAGAACTAGGTTCTAGTGTAGGTTAGTCCAAATAATTTCACAGTCTCGCACTTGTACTTTTTCACTGCTGTGGTCAGTGGTGTATTTAGGTTTTGTGCTGCCCTAGGCAGGACGGTGTTCGGGCACCCCCCCTAATTTAAATTTTTCCCACCCCTTCCTGTCAAGGCCACACTTTGACTGACAGACACACACTGTCAGATGCGCACACTCACTGACAGATGCACACACTCACTAATAGATGCATACACTCATTGACAGACACACTCTCATATACACTGACAAACAATGGCATACACACACTCACTGATTTGACACACTGATAGACAGACATACACTTACTTGGACACACACTCACTGACAGACTCACTGAAAGATGCACACTCACTGACAGACGTACGCACTGACTGACAGATGCACGCACATTCACTTACAGACACTCACTCAAATTCACTGACACACACATTCACTGAAACACACACATTCACTGAAACACTGACACACACACATTCACTGACACACGCACATTCACTGACACACGCACATTCACTGACACACACACTCATTCACATTCGCTGACACTCACATTCACTGACACGCACTCACTCACATTCACTAACACACACATTTCCCCACACTCACAATTATTATTATTTTTTCTTTAAAATTTAAATCCACCCAGCCTCCCTACTTTTGGGATAGCTAGGTGGATTTCTCACCTGGGGTCCAGTAGGGCTGCTGGGCAGGGAGGTGGCTGGATGTGCAGGCGGGCGGGCAGCGAGGGAGCACTTTCCCCTGAGCTCTCTGTTCAGCTCCCTCGTGTGCCACAGAGTGATGCCAGGAGCCAGGAGAATATGACGTCATATTCCGGCTCCCCGCATTATTGCGTGTCACGTGAGGGAGCTGAGCACAGAGCTCAGGGGAAAGTGCTCCCTCGCCGCCCGCCCGAGAAACAACCGCCTGCTGCCCCGGGCCAGCTCTTGGGCTCCCATAAAACGAGGCAAACAAGGTATTTGCCTGGGCATTTGGGGGCGGCGTTTTTTGCCGCCCCCTGGAAATTGTTGCCCAAGGCAAATGCTTTGTTTGCCTCGTGGTACACACATCCCTGGCTGTGGTATATTGCTGTATATAGAGAGTAGAGTGTAAAATTATATTGGCAGATATATCACAGTGTCACTGTATTACAATGGTGCTATGTTATGGCAATAGTATACTGATCTGGCTGCCATTAAGATCTAGTCATGAGCCCATATTGAGTGGAGATATTGATATCGCTATGTCCCCCCATGCATATCCTATGTACTATACTTAAACCATAAACTGTCCTTAATATCAGTAGTAATATGGGGTAAGTAATAAGATTAGCCACACTGTGGCTGTACAGGGTTAACACAGGTATCACTACATAAACTGCTACAGTACTCAATATATGGTTACAAACCGAAAAATAATAACAGAAGTTGTGCAATTTCTGTCAATGATAAGGTCTGCACCAGTGCATTATAACAATATCACTAGAACCTGCTGCAATGTTGCAAGCATTGACGCTGAGTGTATTGTAAGGTAGGTCCTTAATTGCTGTTTACAGTCTAATCACAATGTAACAAATAGTGCAGTAAAAATGACATTCATTGACTGTTGCAGCCTATAAGTATGGTGACAAGGGAGAATCAGTGGGTACAGGGCAGGAGGAATATTCCAGGTAGAACCCCTTTTCCCAGCAAAAAACTCACCTTGTACTGACCGTTATACAAAGCCTCCCCCCAGACAGGTTAGGGATCTTTATTTTATTTTATAAAATATATATTTTTATTTTATTTTACTGAGTAACTCGACCCCTCGAGGCACTCAGCACACAGACAGGGCATCGGAAGCCTGCCTGATGGCTTCCGATGCTCTGCCTCACTGCCGAGTGCCACGTGGAGCAACCCGGAAGTGACCGCTCTTGGGGGATCGATCACCCTGCGGCCCAGCAGTCAAGGGGGTATTACAGGATGCCTCGACATCAAGGCATCGCTGCAATACCGTTAGAGCATCTGGTAGCGATCATGATCACGATCACTTCCAGCGCTCAAATTCGCCGGGGACACATCAGGTACGTCCGAGGTCATTAATGACCATTTTTTGTCGGACGTACCTGATACGTCCTTGGTCACTAAGGGGTTAAAGGGATTGCCAAACATAAGGTCCACAAGGGATCAAGTAGCAGAATACTGAATATTACAAATTGCATATTCTCTCAAATAGATAATGCTTTTGGAAAATTCACTCATTTCTAAATGAATTTCTAAACCAACTTCAGTGCACTGAACCTGAAACATGACTATACATTTTAAACCAGACCAGGAGTAGTGAATTTTGCAGAAAATAATCTTGGCAGAAATTAAAACTGATTACTAAAGTTGTGCCATGGTGGAACAGTTAGTATTCACAACATTTAAATCAAAGTAAAGCATACCAATGAAAACAGTCAGGTAATTGTTTCAGAGTTAGTTGCCCGTGGGAGCCCAAAAAAACCAAGCTGTGTGCCTGCAATCAACAATAAATACTAAGGCTACACACTGCCACCAAACTCGAAACAGTTTTAGTCTAGATCAGGGTTAGGCAACCTTTTAGTAGTACTTTGCCAAAACAAGATCTTGAAGTGCCTTGGTGTGCCAGTCCTATTTTTTAAAGTTGAGATATGTGTTACTGTATTCTGCTTGTGTTATTTATTGGCGCTGCAGTTGCTTTGTACCATTGTATTTGTGTGTATGTGGACTGTTATA